TTCCTGTTCCCCATCCTCTGACCGTCCCCCCCCCGAAACTCCGCCCCATCCAACCGCCCCCTCCTCCCTGACTGCCCCCCAGGACCTCCCGCTCCCTTATCCAACCCCCCCACTTCCTGCCCCCTTACCAGGAGCAGGAGCTCGCAGCCGCAACACCTGGCCAGAGCCAGCTGCGCTCCCCACGCTGCTCAGCGGGAGCGGTGGGCCAGAGTGTGGCCCCCACGGCAGTGTGGCTGCAGGGGGGGGGCAGCGGGGGAGGGGCCGGGGACTAGGCTCCCTGGCCGGGAGCTCAGGGGCCGGGCAGGACGGTCCCGCAGGCTGGATGTGGCCCGCAGGCCGTAGTTTGCCCACATCTGACTTAAACCCTATATTGGACATTTGACCCCCCTCTAAACTCAGGACAGAATAAGTGATCCCTAACTGTGTCTTACTTAACGAAACATTTAATTTGCCATTAACATTCTACGGATCAATTCCTGACCGCATGGAAGGCAATATCTAAACTTCCACTGACTTCAATGGAGCCAGGATTTCACACGATAAGTTTAATGGATGTTTAACATCACAATTGTCTCTCATTTAAAGTGAGTAGAGCCCGTCTCAGGGGTTCACAACTCAAATAATTAAGGATATGGGAGATAATAGTTAGCTGCTAGAGAATGTCTTTCATCTTATTTCTCAAAGTGCTTTACAAAGCCAGGTTGTGTATCATTATCTTTCTCTTACAGCTGGGGAAACTGAGGCAGGGGTAAAGTGACTTGCCCAAAGTAACATAGCAGTAGTCTCTGATTAGGTATTAGAAATACAGGAAGCTGTTCATTAGATTCATACTAGCACCATAAGTTCTCTCTAAGGCCCTGATTCAGAAAGCACTTAAGCACATGCTTAAAGTTAAGCCCTTACTTAAATGTTTTGCTGAATCAGGGCCTATAACTTGCATGCTCTTCACTATTCATTGTGGTGCAGTCAGGCACTTTAATATTTTCTCCTTAGGACATACAGTTTTTCATTCTAAGTGGAAGAGACATTTCTAAACTTAAAAAAAAAACCCACTTTCAGGCACTCTCTTTACTTGAAGGTTTTAATTTTTATATCTATCAACAATTAAAGCAGAGACCCAGTCTTTGTGAAGAGAGATATCTTACCTCCATAGTTCAAATGCACTTTCTACAGTATATCAGCGGACAGTACATTTTGCTAAATGGCTTCGTGAATGTCAAGGTGACAATGTCTTTCACCCAATTAATCCCACAACTCACATTTTACTGTGCTCCTGCTTAAAAGACCTTAGGTCTGCAGGCCAGATTCCTTTTAGTAATTAGCCTTTAACCTTCCCAGTCTTCGCTTTTTCAATTGCCTCTGTCTCTATGTCAAATAGGAGTTTTATGCGTCTCTTGAAGCTTATCCTACAAAGGCTCTGGCCTGACCTTTGGAGCTGTGTGCATTTATAGGGAAATCATTTCTAAGCGAGATTTTAAAAGCTAACAGCTATTTAAGAAACCACTTGTCAGTTCAACAAGCCCAATAGCAAGGTAATGGGGCAATTGCCGATTTCTCTAGCAGCAATTACAGAGTCTTCCCCTCCCCCCCACTTGATCTTGTTCTTTTTAAATGTAGAAAGCCATAAATACAGCACCAAGGGGTCTATTAATGTAATTAGTTTGCTTATTAGAAAAGAAGATCTTCAGCTCGCTGGGGTGAACAGACATCTAATGGAATTTTGCCATCTGGCCCCGCCTCAGCCTGTCAGCATTGACCACGTGTGATGAATGGACTCATGTTAAAGGTTTTGTTAGGTTGGATGAAATCAGAACTGTTCAACTGGGTGTCATGGGCCCAATACCGCTAACAGTTCACTGTGATTCTCTGGAGAGTCTCAAGTGGGATGGGATGGTCTGGTTTTTGGAGCAGGAGGCCCAGAGTTCAAGCCCCATTCGTAGTGGCCATGGTATGCAGCACAGTGACACTGTGAAAACCTACATAGCCATGGGTGGTTTGCAAAGCACGGGCATAAATCCCACCCCAGAAGACCCAGTAGTAGGTGGGGCCCTGTCTGCAGTCCTCCAAGCATGTTAAAATGTGGGGTTTGCACTAGACTGGAAGACAGTCTGGGCGGTGTCTAGTGTTTGATCTTTTCGAGCATGGCATTCCGCAGTTTCTGTCACAGTGCTGAAAATTACCTACCTACAGCTCTAGATAGGCCTTGTCTAGAGATGGGTTCAGAATCCATGTCCACAATGAGCACACTAAGCTCAGGGTGTCATGGATGATGTTGCAGTACCTGGGTAACCTGATCCAACTTCACTACAGGCTTTGACGACTAGGGCCACAACCTTGAACTGGACCTAGTACAGGATACAGAGCTGCCAAAAGGCATGCTGCACTGGTGTGAATTTCTTCCATAGGTACCTGTCAGGGATCGGCAACCTTTGGCATGCGGCCTGTCAGGGAAATCCGCTGGCGGGCCAGGACGGTTTGTTTACCTGCAGCGTCTGCAGGTTCAGCCGATCGTGGCTCCCACTGGCTGCGGTTCGCCGTTCCAGGCCAATGGGGGCTGCGGGAAGTGGCGTGGGCTGAGGGATGTGCTGGCCCCCGCTTCCCGCAGCCCCCATTGGCCTGGAAGGGCGAACCGCAGCCAGTGGGAGCCGCGATCGGCCGAATCTGCGGAAGCTGCAGGTAAACAAACCGTCCCGGCCTGCCAGCAGATTTCCCTGGCGGGCCGTGTGCCAAAGGTTGCCAATCCCTGCATTACTTCATACAGGTTATGTCTATGCTGCAGCTGGGACCGTGCCTCACAGCTAGGGTGACCAGACAGCAAGTGTGAAAAATCGGGATGGGGGTGGGGGGTAATAGGAGCCTATATAAGAAAAAGACCCAAAAATCAGGACTGTCCCTATAGAATTGGGACATCTGGTCACCCTACTCACAGCCCAGGCAGCCAGACACATGCTAGCATTGCTCAAGTTAGCATGCTAAAAATAGCAGTGTGGCATGGGCAGTGGCACAGGCTAGCTGCCCGAGTTCAAGGCCACCTGTCCCGCTACGTCAGTACCTGGGTGGCTAGGTCATGTCGCTGCATATGTCCGCACTGCTATTTTTAGAGCAGCATTAGCTCATGTCTGTCTGCCCAGCTGCAGTGTAGACTTACCCACAGTTGCACTCTGATATTGGCAGGGCCATCCCATTTCATTTGATTTTGTTTACTTTTCCTTGGACTCAAACAACTCGATGAAATTCGGTGTGAAGACAAGCGAGTGAGATGCAAAGGGCAAGGGCATTATGAACCTAAGAGCTGAAAGGTACAGCTGTAGTGTTCAGATCAAATGTTAACATCTCTGGGCATTCTATCATTTCAATTATCTTTTCTCAGAGCCCAAGATCCTACAAAATATTGTAAGAGAAAATATCCCCTTGAGGCCTGGGTCTTCAAATATGCTATTTTTCTCCAGGGCAGCGTGTAATTGCTTCTTGAAGGATTCTGCTGACTTTGTCTTAAAATCCCACCTGGTGGTGGTGTCGATTCCAAACATTTCTAATTCCCTGCGTGATAACAGCAATGGAGCTTTTTATTCAAAATGTGCTCTTCTTTCATTAACAGCTCTCTGTCTCCTGATTCCATTGTGTTCTCTCTCCTGGATGCATTGTCTGTGGGTCTAGAAATGAGCCAACCAGCTTCCATGGGGAAGTAGGGGATGGGGTGTGC